AAGGAAACACATTTTTTCTGCAAAACATCCTAGGAGCTATAGGTGCCTGACGCACTGATGCAGAACCCTGTATAACATTCTGAAAGCTTACACCTTAAAAGCAGCTGTATGTATTCAATCGATCACTCTAAAGCGCTTGAAACGTAATCTAATATTAAGGAAAAGAGGGCACCTTTCGGGGTAAACATGTCTTCTTGTTCCTCAAGGCAATACATCAATCGTAACGAGCATTGAATATACAGGGTGACCCAGTGCTCTGAAAAGATCTACCGATTTGGTCATTTTAGAAGTGTGGTCTGGATTTTAACGTGTAAGACAGTTATGTAGGCAGCTTAATGGAAAATCTAATGTATTATAAAGAGATAAAAGTTGGGTTGATACATTTCTTCTATGCGGTATTGCCGAATTTTGTATCAAAAGTTCAAACCGCAACAGCAGGCGTTTATGGAAATTTTTGCATCTAGGGTTGGAATCTTATTTTTCACAGTTAGGTTACTCATTTTACTACAGATGTAATAGATTATATTTAGCTTAGATATGTTATCTCCATTTCAGTAGTATACATGAAAGTTTTTAAAATAGTTTTTTTTTTCTACACAAATTTTTCTACAAACGTAAAAACCGACAACACTGTATGCCGCTTTTGGTTTTGTCTCTCTGTCTGTCAACCGGTCATTTATATTATTCTCTGTTTTAGACGTTAAAATCCAGACCACACTTCTAAAATGACCAAATCGATATATCAGGTTTTCTGTTTGAGATGTTTTCACTCCAATCTTTCTCACGTAATATGCTGATAGATATACAGAGTGATTCAAATACATTTTACCCTAACGGCGATACTTTTGCTGTTAGTTAATTATTAATGGAAAGTTCAAAAGATTTAATGTGCCCAAAATCGCGTAGCAGATAAAGCGTATACAGAATTATTCTGAAAAAAACGATATACATTACATTAGGATATAAAAACGCTTTTCGAAAATTATTGACATTTGTGAAATTTATTTAAAATCTCAATTTGACGTTTATAATTATGAGTATACTTTTATTTAAAAAAATTTCTCTGTTTTTTAAGATATAATCATTGATCAAGTGATTTTTGACAAACATTTTTTATATGAAGCCTTTTCCATATTTGACACCAGAACTTGTAGAATGTAGAATGAGAGGAATGTCACCAAGAAGGGTTAATCAACGCGACCTTAAAGTTCTATTGCCTTCTTGAGTTATAACTCATCATACATGGGGATCTTCCTGTTGTAGGGGGGACAGGGTATTTCAAATACGCCTTTGACAACAGATGCTCATTCTCCGAGGAGTGGACATCTACCTCCTACGAGGGTATACACCCTTCCAGGGTTGGAGTTTAGCCCGCCGTGCCTTTCACAGTCGAAAATCTCATCTTCGGCTGAGGTACCCGTGAGGTGGAGACTGGAGGATCTGTCTCCATTTTCTCCACCTCTTTAAGAGCACTTGCATACACACCGGGAAGATCGTTTATATTGCAATCGATTCCAGCACCGGCACCGATTTTGCCGATGATTTGTGTGCAGTTGTACTTGGTTCCTACTTGTGTTATACCAAATCTTTAATAGAGCATATCTCTCTTTCTCTATTACCTCCATGGATTTGAATTCAATTCCTATTGTAAGGACCTGACCATGGCCCATGACAACGGGGTGAACCCTGGTGCCCCAAGGTTGAGACCAGAAAAGGCTAGTCTTCTATCTAGCCACGCATCCTCTTGACCTGGTCCCGCCATCGTAGGATTTAGGTTTTTGGTGAGGTTGTCTCCTCTTGGTCCAGATGGTTAAGCCAAAACTTCTCACACCCTCTGTCTGTGAGACATGACCAAAGACAATAGAGGGTGCCTGGTATGAAGGACAGGGTGGTCCCGGCATCGTTATACGTTGGTGCAATTCCCTGGCCACGACACTACAGCCAGGTTGCTGTCTTGACAAGTTGATTTTGAAGAGACAACGAGATGCTCCTTAGACTCAGCCAAAGGGCCAGAGGAGATTCTCCTGGCACCCGACTAGGAGCCCCACCAATGACTAAAGAATACAAGGACATGTAACGCCAAATATACGGGCTGCAGTTGAATTTGTGACCTTAGACGCCATTTTTTTGGACATAACGAATGAGTCATCAGCGACAATTTTAGCGATTTTTAGTAGTTGGTTGTGTGTAGTGAACCTAATAATATAAACTTTATTACAATGGCAATTTGTTCAGCTATCAAGTGTAAAGGCGCAATGATAAGAAAGAGCCAGGAGTTACGTTTTATAGGGAAATAAACAGTCCACTACACCTTTTTAGCGTTATTGAATTTGATAATTATTTTTTTGATATTATACAGGGTGTCTCAGATTTTAATCGGGAAAATTTAATAGACGATAGAAATTGCAAAAATAAAACAAAAAGTTCATATCAACTTGTAAGATTTAAAGCTTCCTCTTCGAGATACAGGTTGTTAAAGTTACTTAAAAAAGAAAAATAATTTAAGATATTTGAAAAACTATTTAATCGATTTTGATATAACTTGACCCGTTTATAATACTTACTATGGGACTTAATTTCATGTAATTAGATTTAAGTTCAATGGCCAGGGGCGGCGGTGGGAAATCACTGTTATATTATTTTAAAGGAAAAAAATAGGCAGGCCACTGCTTTTTTAGAAGTTTAATATTATTTTTGGATTTAGTAATTAAAAATATTATTTTTTCGTCTCCTGACTTTTTTGTCTATCTTGCTTACTTCTTGCGAAAAATATTAAATTCATTTATTCACTCCACCCTGGACAATAAATTAAATAATGGTTAGTTACAACAATTACAATAATTGTTCGAATTGATAACAACTAACATCAACGCATTTTCTACAACGACGAACTACGAAATGAACTGCGCTTGAAATCTGGACCGGATTTTCTTTGACATCATTGATTGCGTCTTGGATTATAAAAATTAGCTCTTCCCTAGTGTTGACTGCTGTTTCATACACCTTTGCTTTTATTATCCCCCACAAATAAAAATCCAGAGGGGTAAGGTCTGGGGACTTAGGTGGCCCAGCGACTGGCCCTAAACGACCAATCCAGCGCTCGGGATAATTTACGTTTAACCATTGTCTAACAATTCGAACAATTATTGTAATTGTTGTAACTAACATTATTATTTAATTTATTGTCCAGGGTGGAGTGAATAAATGAATTTATTTTTTTTTCGCAGAAAGTGAGCAAGATAGACAAAAAAGTCAGGAGACAAAAAAATAATATTTTTAATTACTAAATCCAAAAATAATATTAAACTTCTAAAAAAGCAGTGGCGTGCTTATTTTTTCCTTTAAAATAATTTAACAGTGATGCCCCACCGCCGCCCCTAGCCATTAAACTTAAATCTAATTACATCAAATTAAGTCCCATAGTAAGTATTATAAACGGGTCAAGTTATATCAAAATCGATTGAATAGTTTTCAAATATCTTTTTTTTTTCTTTTTTAAGTAACTTTAACGCCCTGTATATCGAAGAGGAAGCTTTAAATCTTACAAGTTGATATGAACTTTTTGTTTTATTTTTGCAAGTTCTATCGTCTATTAAATTTTCCCGATTAAAATCTAAGACACCCTGTATATTATGTACTTGATATGTGTTATACGTCGATACTAGTTTTGTACCTTTTGTTAACATTTTAATATGTTTTTTTCGTAATTAATTAGTATGATACCACTGGATACACCATAGGCGTAGTGAAAACATTTATCAAAAATATAAATATCGCTTCAAGCGGCTATCTTAAGAAAGATATGTGCCACGGCACTGTTTGGAAGAATGGTCCCAGTTTGTTCTCGGGTGCTATTTGTCCTTGTATTCTTAGTCATTGAGCTCCACCAACGGTAAGGTCACGCATCAAATAGGGAAAGACAACAGAACTTAAATAGATAATCAATATGTAAACCAGTTCTACATGCGGGACTCTGTAGAAGTGGACTGACTAACACTTGCGGTGTATCACTAGCTTTGCCAGAACTCCAATGTAAGGACATCGAATTGGCGAGTCATCAACTTGAGGGAGGAGGGTCATGGTCAGGTCCTCACAATAGGAATTGACCTCAAATCCAAGGAGGCAATAGAGAAAGAGGGACATATCCTCTATTAGAGATACGGGACAAGACCGGTATCAGGTCTAAGGAGAGACCAAGTTAAAGAGGTGGAGAAAATGGAGACAGATCCTCCAGCCTACACCTCACAGGTACCTGAGCCGGAGGCAAGCTCCTCGACTGTGAAGGACACGGAGGGCCAAACTCCAACCGTGGAAGGGTGTGTATTCTCGGAGGAAGAACATCTCCTGTCAGAGGAGGATGGGAAATATCCTGTCACCTCTACAACAGAGGTATGATGGGTTACAGACTGTGTGATGACTCAATGAAGGGGGGCACAATAGATCTTTAAGATCGCAGTGATTAACACTCCCCCCCCCCTCTCACTCATTCAACATTCTATGTAAACCAGTAGTTTATTCAGATATTGAAAAAAGACGATCATGCTGGGTCTTAATCTTGATCTTTCGCAAATCTTGCACTGTTCGGTCTTGGCAATATCAAGCCAATATCAGTCTCGCTCATCACTGCCTACAACAGTTGTAGTTTGTAGTTTATTAAATGAAATATATTGTAGAAATTTTCATAATCTTTACTGAGTGGCTTATAAAATGTGACCATTTTTAAACTGAAGTTTCTGCACATTTAGCTCTCCTAAAATCATATACCTACTAACTAATTCTATATCTTTTTCAATAGATCTATTTTATAATACGGTCTAGTCAAATTGTGCCAAAAAAAATCCCGGCGGAATGTTTTGAGGGTAATTTGATTTCTTCTATTCTGTATGTTCTTCTATTGCCAACAAAATTTCGCAATGGAACATTTAAAAAATTGCAGTTTTTGCTTATAATTTGTTTATATTTTTTGCTAGATCATTATTAATATAGTCTTTTATTTTCAGGGCATTTTTACTTCGGGACAGTAGTACTAAGCCAGGTATACTTGTCATTTCGTACATGTGTGCTACTGAGGTAAAGCACGTTTTTGTCGTACCGATTGTCCAGATTGATGACGAAACAGGAGATCATATGTATCTAGTGTCCTGTGACGGGAAATTACTATTCTATAATGTACACAGTCTGATTGATTTTCATAAATTAAACCTAATGCCGCCATTTAAGCAAAAGTAAGTATGTTACATATTAAGCCTTAGTATTAAAAATATCTATACTTACTAAAAATTAGTGATGGGCAAAACCGATTAATTTCAATAATCGAGTACTCGACTTTCAATATTTAAAAATACGTTTTTTCGCCCGTCCCTTGTTGTAAGTACTCGTTAACGCCAAGCGCCAAGCAGTAAGTTGCGTGCGCAGGGCACATATCGTCGGTGAAATGTGATAAAATGTGAAACATTTTTTTAAATTTTATGAAAATTATGTATCATTTACGTGGAAAAACGTTAAAAAATATAAAACTGATTAGGTATTATGGAAATTATTGTACAAGTAAGTAATGGTTATTTAAACTATTTATAGCATGCCGACGAATTGCTCGTATATAAAGAATTTCGTTTTTTCCCTTACACTTTACGAATACCCCGTATTTACAGAACGGATCGACGCAGAGTCGGACTGGCCATATTATCTATATTTAACTATTAGAGAGAGCCCAACCCTTCGCGGGTCCCCTTCATAGTTCATTATTTATTCTTAACAATATTTGCTTTTGCATTGCATTATGGCATTTGCATTGCATTGGTTTACCTTGCATTAGGGTAGTTCCCTGATTTCTATACAGGGTGAGTTTTAAATGAGTGCAGATATTTTCAGGGCTGGTAAATATCGACAAAAGAAGCATAATATTTTCTCTTTGCCGTTTTTTCAAATAAATCCAAAACAACCGAGTTATTTCACTTTTTAAATTTGCCCAATTTTTTGCTATAATTTTGAGAATCATTGGATTTTCTTTCTTGTAAATTTAATCTACTACATATGTTGCCATATTACAAACAAAGTATGTTTTTAAACTAAAAATTAAAAAAAATTCCAAAATTTTTTTCTAAAAAATTCAAAATTTCAAAAAAAAATCGCGCAAAAAGCCTTGGGTCGAAATATACTACCCCTAAAAATATTTGCACTTATTTAAGACCCACCCTGTATATAATAGGGAAAAATTGACCAAAACGTAAGGCGAAAAAATACGCAAAAAATCCACACGGGCCTCTTCTTACATTGCCACCCGGGCCCCTTTGACCTAGTGCGACCCTGGATCGGCATACTGTACTAAAGAAACATACGAGTAAGAATCCGTGTGTTTGCTTTAGCGTGATCGTAACGGAAATTACGGAGATAGCAGTATTTCGGTGGCTATTTCAGATCACTGGGAGTTAGCAGATATTATTGAGTTAAAATAAAAAATTTTCTTTGATGGGAAAAAATCTATTTGCTTTCCCTACTTATAGAGTATTTTTTTTTCTCTTTCTAATGGCATAAAAAACTTATTAACGTAAAAAATGGAGTTAGCAGGTTATCACGTTTCACTGACGATATTCTTTCGGTGATGAATGGCAAGTAGCAAGCGACGAGTGATTCGCTTTATCGCTTGATTTAGTTTATTTCAGAGCATTGTCGATGTAGGTCGTAAAGTTTTGTCCTATGATACGCAACGGATAACAACGTATAAATTTGCTACCTGCAATGTATGTAGAAAATTCGCTCGGTTTTTATCGAGTATGTCACATTAAAACCGGGTTTCAATTTATTTCATTATAGGATCGCTTGCGTTTGTCGCTCATAACTCGTCACTTGCATCGCTCGTTCTTAATCGAGTACTCGAGCGAATTTTCTCTCGAGTTATCAAATCACTACTAGAAATGAAACACTTTTTTAATATTCGGTATTTAGCCGAATAGTGCACAGTATTATGGAAAAAAGTGCACTAAATTATGGAAAAAACGCAAAACTCTAAATTAAAAAAATAAGACGTAAATTTTATTATTGCTAAGTTGTGGTGACTAAAAACTTAGTAGGACAGTCGCTGGCAATCATTAGCAGTCTTACGGCAGGCGCCTATAATAATTACATGGCAGTCATAGGCAGTCTTCTTCGCAGTCATTGGCAGTCGCTTGGCAATAAGTTGATATTTTGGCGGTACATGTACATTTTTTACCCAAGTGACACACCCCTCGCTTTAAGCTAACCTTTGGTAGATATAAACTCTCCTGTACATTCGTTCCCGATAAACACATATTATTCCAGCTGGCAAAATACATTTAGTCCAGGACACTTATTTTCAATTATATGGTGCTCGTGGAAAAAATGCCCTAAAGCTGAATTTTTGTGGATAGTTAGTCACTGTAATCCACATTAACATACTAAAAGTCCCCATCCCTCTACAACATTTTATAATTGAAATTTATTACTTATAAAATTACCTACAAAATGGTGTATATAAGTATATTTATTATTTGATGAAACCAGTGGCGTGCACCGAGTGCTTAAACTTATTATATTTATTACCTTGGTCAAGTTCATCGTTTATGAACAAAATATTAGCTAAATATATTTTTAAAATAATAATAAATTATAAAATATTTAATCCAGAAGAAAAATATTTTTGACAGTAGCGTACAAGTACACATTAAAAAAAATGAACTTCAAGTTTTAAGAACAACGTAGGTATTACTTATATGCATTAATTCGAAAGGATTAGACCTATTTTAGGACAACATAAATATAAAAATGACATATCAAAAATATTTTGGAAGATTATCCCTCCGACCGTGCAAACCACCTCAAAAATACATTTTTTACTTTTTGCTAAATATCTCCATTTTATAAACCCAGTGGGAGCCATTCACCACATCAAAGTTTTAAAATTCAAAAAAAATTGTTTCACAAAAATTATTTCATTATCACTCAATTATCTTCAATACAATTGTGGACAAAAATGTATAGATGTCTTTGATGAGTATAAGAAAAGATCTTTTCACCAAAATTCAAGAACAGCTACGTCGGTATGAAAAATCCTCTTGCTCAGACATATTATTTTCAGAGGATACAATAGCAACCTCAAATTAGGCTCGTTTTTTTTTTTCTAACCAAAACAATAATAGTTCAGTAATTGGGGATTTTTGCTTGGAAAAAATTCCGGAAGTTTTGCAACTTTGCAGGTTTATAGGTTTTGGGGTCCCTAACTAAAATCCATAAAATGCACATTCCCAGACTTACCGCCGGCGCCGCCATCTTGCCAAGATGGCGCCCAAAATCGGTATTTTGTGAATATCTCGAAAACTATGCGTTTTTCGCGAAAATTTGTGGAGAGCAAAATTAAAGAGAATAACATTTTCTATAAAAAAGGTATTATAAAAATTTTCGCTCAAGTCAACTGTTTAGGCACAAAATCCCTGGAAATTTTACAATTTCGCGTAAAATATGATATATTATGTATAGTCGATTTTCCGAAATCGAATGTCGATTAAGGTTCACTAAAACTAGTTTTAGTTTAGTTTCTTCAATTTTGTCATAAAACAGTGGCGTATCATTAATTCGCTCATTAATTTATGAATAATAAATTTTAATTATTGAAAATGTGTACACACATCTAAGAGGTAAAGTACATGGCGCGTTTATTATTTTTTAACGTGGTCTCCCCGGAGGCCTACTCCACTAGATAAATTAAAAACTTTAACTTATCTGCACAAGCCCGCCGGATCTAGCTCATTGATGTCAAAGTCGATGGTGTCTGCTGTGTTGGGCTCATCAGGGTGGTCTCTCAATACGTCCAACTCTTCATCTACAGCCGCCAGAGGGATATCTACAGGCAAGTCCAACTCCTCTTCATCGTATTCGTCGTGTGACGCTTCAGGGACGTTGTCACAGGATTTCCCATTGCAGTATGCACAAATCATTGAACATTTTAATCCTGCTTTTCTGCATCCGCGGGCTTTACCATAGTTGTTGGTTTTGCATTTACAGGATAAAAATGCCAATAGGGATTTTGGAGCTGGATCTTTCAACGTTGTGACTCGAGTAATGCCTGTTATTGTTTTTTTCTAACCCTATTCTTCGGCATCTTTGGTACAACCAGACCAATGCTGAACCTGGTGGTAAGTTTGCAATGAATGCTGTCCATCACGACAATTCATATTATTAATAATGAAGGTAATCTTCAACAGTGGCCGAGGGATACGTCGAGGATTCTATCAACAATAAAATTCAAGTATCAAATAAAATTTTAGAGTGTCAAATACCGGGATCAATCCGTTGCTTCTTTATAATGGTGTTTAATAATTTGTTTACATGATGAAATATAACAAAAGAGACATATTAAAAAGCCACGTAATAAAATAAACAAAAAAATAAAAAAATATTTAAATGTCAACCTCACTTCTTTAATATTGACACTTCGAGTCTTTTTTGCTTGTCAATTTGCATGTGCCAATGAAAATTTGTGTAGTGTAACAACCCAAATTCGTCAACAAAGTTGAAGAGGTAATATTTTTGGCCAACTGTATAGCAAGAAATTTAAATGAAAGCAAAGGAACCTACGTTGTGTTAAATATTTTTTTTTATTGTGATTACCTTGGATGCGCCTCGACAGAAGCAATATTTTGGGAAATTTGAGGAGAATAGGTTATGTAAATAAAACGCTAAATTTGTAAATAGCCCTACTTATTTTATTAAATGAAATGAAAAGAGTGCCGTACTCTGCCTGGAATTCATATGTAAAAGAGCACGGCAGAGAAAACCATGATCACTATTCCAGAGACTCTAACTATGCTGTATTTAACTTTAATAAAAGAGAAATAATAATAGTATAGAAGCTGTCCTCATACCAAAGTTTGTAGTTTTATACATTCAAAACATGCCACATTTATATCATTCAAAACTGAAGAGTGTTTGGTTAGTTAGCAGGTCGCCGCCTGCAGGTACTAAGGTCCTGGTTTCGGATCTCGAAGCTAAAGTTGGATGTTTGGTGTAAATATCTTAATATTATATTTATTGCTTTTAGTTGCCCTCTGCGAGCTAAGATATTCGCCCAGTCACGGTCGAAAAGTATTAGTAAATTCAACAAGGCCCTTGTTCTCACCTCGGAACCACAAACATCGACACGACTGGACAGCACATTATTGTATTTAGATTACTTTTAAACTGAAATTATTTACACCATAAATAGTTTCCA